TGTTTTCCATCTGTGGAATAACTTTCACTTGCATCCAATAGAATATTTTCACAACTTGAATATGTTGTTTTTGAAGAAATTACAATTGTTGGGCGAATTGGATTTTCAGCATTTCCAATTTTGAATGATTGATAATCCTTTCCTAATTTGTTTCTATTAAACACATTTCTATTCAACAAAATTTCTTGATCAACTTGAATAGAATGATCAGTTCCCAATTCAATAATAAAATCATTGGATGTCTTATTAGAATATCTACAAACTACATTAGAACCAAATGAGGAAATACTTGAAGAATCTAATAAATTGTTACAATCAACATTTAAGGATGTGAAATGATTTGGAGAGGTCATTTTGAAAAGTAATCCATTTCCTTCATTATTGAAATGTACATTGGACATTTGAGTCATGCAATCTTCTCCATAAAATCCATCGTTGCAAGTATTACAATTAGTTCCATTCCAATAACCGTTAGTTTCGTCTTGGAAACAAGTACAGAAACCATAGCCATCACATGTACCATGTGAATTGCATTTCAATGTAGCATTACATTTTTCAATAACTGTACAATTAATTCCAGAGTATGGAATTTTACACTTGTCACATGTTTTTCCAACAAAGTGACCATCAATGTCATTATCAAAACATGAACAGTTATTTGGAGCATTACATTTACCAACTCCATTGCAAACTTTCTTTGAATTCGATGAAATTCCATAGCAGATTGGATACTGACATATTGGCCCTTCGTAACCTTCCTCACAAAAACATCCAACAGTTGACATGTTGAATTTACATATACCATGTTGAGAACAAACTTTTGGATCTTTTTGTGGTAACCACATATCAACTCCTGCCTTACATAAAATCGTTTCACATTGTGGACCTATTGCTCTTCCACTTTCGGATTCCAAACAAGTGCATTGATTGGGACCTGTACATTTTCCTTGACCATTCGTGCAAACTCTAGAGTCATTATTGGATTTAAAACCAAAGCATGTATGAGAGGAACAAGTTTCTCCATCATATCCACCAAAACATTTGCATGTGTCCATGGTTGTGCATTGGCCATGGGAGGAACAAACTGATGAATTGAAAGATGGAATTCCAAAACAAGAATGGGAATCACATTTAGCCCCAAACCATTTAGGATTACACAAACAAACATCAGGGGAGAGGCATTTACCATGACCAGCACATACATTTGAATAGTTTGCTGGTAATCCAAAACACTTTGGAATTTCACAGAATTGTCCTGTCCAATGTGGATTGCATGAACACACATCTGTAGATACACAATCACCATTACCATTATTACAAACGTTTTGCACATCTTGTGAACTAGTTCCATTACACGAATGAACTGAACAATCAGCTCCAAACCAGCCCTTATTACAACGACAAGTGTCAGCATTAATACATTGACCATGACTTGAACAAACTGAAATATCACTGGAATTCACTGCAAAACATTTAGGAATTTCACACAATTGACCTGTCCATGTTTCATTACATAAACACAAATCTGTTCCAATGCACTGACCTCTTCCTCCATTACAAACATTTTGTAAATCTTGAGAGCTTGTTCCATTACATGAATGAATTGAACAATCAGCTCCAAACCATCCACTATTACAAGAGCATTTATCAGAGCTTATGCAATCTCCATGACCAGCACACACTTTTTTAGCAGTTGAAGCTAATCCGAAACATGTTGGAATTTCACAGAACTGGCCTGTCCAACCAGATTTACAATCACACTTATCCATTTGAATACATTCTCCATTACCCCCAGTGCACACGTGTTTTACATCTTGTGAGATTGTTCCATTACAGGAGTGAATATTACATAATGGACCAAACCAACCTGTATTACATGGCAAGTATTAATATCAGTACAATA